CCATCAGCTGATTATCCAGACCCAGAGCGGCTGGAGGAGGAAGGGGAAGGGGAAACAGGGTCTGCCATGGTGTGGCCAGGCTCCACAGGCTTGCGCAGCCCGTTTCTGGTGTTGTCCCATAACTTTTCGTCACTGGGAGAGACCAGCACAATGTGAGAGCCAGCTGGGGTGGGAGCAGGAGAGGAGCCAGGGCCCCGCAGGGATGCGGGAGGAGCTGCGCTGTGGGAACACGCCTGAAGGCGCTGACTGGCAAAGAAGGGATCAGACTGTTTGGGAAACCGGTTGGAAAACTGCACTCCCTTCGCCTGTGAATGCTTTAGGATGAGCCATGGCTGAGGATCCCTGCGGAACTTTTCCTGGGCAACGTGCTGTGCTGGGCAGAGCCTGGGAGCAGATGCAGGGGTCCCTGGAGTGTAGCTGGGCTGCCCCTTGGACCCTCTCCTCTTGTGTACACGTCGGCAGGGCCCCACAGTGCCGGTGCCATGGGGAGTGGAGGGCGTATGTGCCCAGAGGCGAGGGAGGGGTGAGCATGGCAGCCCCAGCTGTCTGCTCTGGGCGCTCAGAGGCCACGTCCGCAGGACCCGAACTGGAAGGTGCTGGGCTGGGAGGCAGTTCAGGCGCAGAGGGAAATGCTCTGCAGCAAAGGTTGGAAGAAGTTTGAAATCAGGGGGATGCTGCGAATAGTGCGGGTGTTGGAGGTGTTGCCCCAACAGAAAGTGGGTCTGGAGTGCAAGCAACTCAGCGTAGCCGCAGCCTTGCTCTCTGGATTGAGCTCTGGCCCCCACTGAAGGCAGCTGGCTGGGAACAGGGCTGAGCCGCGCCGTGCTCGGCAGGATGGCTCCCGGCTGGGCTGGGCGAGGGGGCAGGCAGACCTCACCCCCTCCGCTGCGCCTTCAGCCAGGCGGGCTGAATCCCCTTGGACAGCTAAATGCGGCGTGAAGCCGGCAGCTCCGCGGTGGCGGATGCATGAAAGGTGAGTGTGCTGGAGCCTGAATAATGCGGGGAGCTGCTCTCTCCAGCACGCTGCCCGGAGAGCCTGGGGGCAGGGAGCAAGCGCTGAGCCGGGGCTCTTCCCCTGGGACACGTGGTGCATCCTGACCTCTCCATCGCGGTCCTGCCAAGCCCACCATAGGGCAGGTGTGATGGATTTGCTGGGTGGCTGCTGCCATGCAGATACGGGTGTCATCCTAAATAGCAGAGCCTTGGGGCAGCAGGGAAGGGGGGAAGGGGCTGCCAGAGCTGAGATGCCGGCTCTGCACGGCTGCGCTGCTGGTGACCCCAGTGCTGGCAGCCGCGTCCCACGGGGGCTCGCCCTGGGGGGCGGGGGGGGGGCGCGTC